GGGCGCGGCAGCAGCAACATCACCTCGGGGAGCGGCGTCTCCGGCTGCCAGGCAGAAAAGCTTCCTCCTTCCGCACCAGCTGTCCACACAGGTTCTTGTTTGTTTTGTTTGTTTTTTGTTCAATATCTTCTCCACGACCTGGTGCCCGTCTGCCCGCCACCCTGGCGCACCTTTTGCCGGCTCCGGCCATGTACAGCATGCTGGAGACTGAGATCAAGACGCCGCAGCCCACGCCGGGCAGCGCCGGGGGCAACCCCGCTCCGGGGAGCAACGGTAAGGGCGGCGGAGGCGGCGGGGCCAGCAACGGAGCGGGGTCCGGCTCGGACCAGGACCGCGTGAAGCGCCCCATGAACGCTTTCATGGTGTGGTCGCGGGGCCAGCGGCGAAAGATGGCCCAAGAGAACCCCAAAATGCACAACTCGGAGATCAGCAAGCGGCTCGGGGCCGACTGGAAGCTGCTGAGCGACGCCGAGAAGCGGCCCTTCATCGACGAGGCCAAGCGGCTGCGGGCCGTGCACATGAAGGAGTATCCGGATTACAAATACCGGCCCCGAAGGAAGACCAAGACCCTGCTGAAGAAGGACAAATACTCGCTGCCCGGTAATCTGCTGGCCCCGGGAGGGGGCAACGCGGTGAGTAGCCCTGTCGGGGTGGGGCAGAGGATTGACACTTACGCCCACATGAACGGCTGGACCAACGGGGCTTACTCACTGATGCAAGACCAGCTGGGCTACAGCCAGCACCCGGGCATGAACAGCCCGCAGCTGCAGCAGATGCACCGGTACGACATGACGGGCCTGCAGTACAGCCCCATGATGTCCACGGCCCAGACCTACATGAACGCCGCCTCCACCTACAGCATGTCCCCCGCTGCCTACGGCCAGCAGCCCTCCTCGGCCATGAGCCTGGGCTCCATGGGCTCGGTGGTGAAATCCGAGCCCAGCTCGCCGCCTCCTGCCATCACTTCCCACTCGCAGAGGGCCTGCCTTGGAGACCTGCGGGATATGATCAGCATGTACCTGCCCCCGGGGGGGGATGCCACAGACCCTTCCGCCCTGCAGGGCAGCAGGTTACACAGCGTCCACCAGCACTACCAGAGTGCCGGGACTGGCGTGAATGGTACCGTACCACTAACTCACATATAAACTTGGCTGCTCCGGACGGCTCCCCGTCTTTAATCCCTAACCCCACCGCCGCTCCTTGACTACAGCGGGACGTACGGCAGTTGTTGTTCGGTTTAGCAGGCTTAATACTAACTTTGGAGAAATTATGAAAGGAAATCCGTTAGTTGTATTTTCTTTTTTTTTGTTACAAAATATTTGAGCAAGCTGTTATTTTAATAGATCACAACTCCTGCCTCCTAGAAGCCGCCGTGAAGTTTTTTAAACCGCGGCAACTTCTTTCCTGTTTTCTGCTAGGTTTTATTCGCTTAAAAATTGTTTTTAAAAGGTTTTTGCATTTTTCAGTTTGATTTCTAGCGTTGCAATGACACAAAACCACCCAAAACGGTGGGATTTTGTTTTTAAACTCAGTTGTTCACGTTATCGTTGTGGTTTCTTAAGCGTTTTGTTCATCCCACCTTAACTGAGCCTCACTCGGTTTCTATCCACAATCTGGCTTTCACGACTTTTTAACCTTAGGGTTTTATTCCTTAAAAAAAAGGGGAGGTGGGAGAGAGCTGTGCGGGTCGCAAAAGCATTTCTTCTATTTATAGTAAGTTGTGTGTCTTGTTTTTTCTTAAACTGTAAACTTATGTAAATTGGTTTGTGAATTTTCCTGTGAACCATGTCTGACATATCAGATGAAGAAACGTTTTAGTTTTGTTTACCGGATTTCTTAAAAAAAAAAAAAAATGATCCTGTTCTTAGTCCTCGTTTACTTCTTCCAAACGAAGAGATCTCAATAAATTTTATACTGGGCACGTCGTCAAGTCTCCCGGCGGTGCGAGGGGTCGGGTGAGCAGCAGGTCCCCCGGCGCTGGCGGGGAACGCGCTGGGTCCCCGGACTTCCCGCAGCGGCCCCGGGCCCGCCGCCCGGACCGGGATCGCGAGCGGTGCTTGCCTCTCCTCCCGGCTTGGTTCTCTCTGTCGCCGGGGACGGAAGGGGGGGGGGCTAGACTAGTTTTTGCGCTAAAGGATTTGCCTAGAAACCCGACCTCATCTGAAATATTTACAAAAGTAAACCCCGTTGGGGAACTCTTAATTAGACTCTATTAAAAATGAATGGTTACAGGAGTCCCCAGAGGAAATAAATAATTCAATCTTTTCAGTATGTTTGACGTGTCTGTTTTTGGTCTAGACAACTTTTTGTTGTTGTTGTTGGTTGGTTGTTTCCCCCTTTATTTTAGGTTCTGCGTTATCCCTGCGCAGCAGCCCCGAGCTGCGGAGCCGCCGGCCGAGGCGGGCACCGCTCACCCCTCCCCGCGCTCGGCAACAAAAGTTGCGTCCGGGCCGGCTCCGAACGTGCCCCCGGCTCCCTGGGGCTCGCCGGGCCAGGCGGCCCCTCCCCAGCACCTTTGCAGGGGGTCGGTGCATTTCGTAGGGCGACCCCTTCTCGAGCATCTGCCGTTCGTTCGCCTCGAATAACCTTTTCTCTGTTTGCCTTGGTACAGAAAGAAAGAGGAGGGGAGGGGGCTTTTGTTTGCTTGGTTTTGGCTAAAGGGGTCTGCTCTGCTCGTCCCTTCTGGCCAGCAGCTTTGGGGAGACTTGGCGCCCCTCTCCTGTGCTCTTGCGGCTGTCGAGGTCGGCCGGGGGCGGTGGGACCCGCTGACCTTTCTCCGCTGTTCACCTCCCTGTGCGGCCGCTTCCCACCCTGGCCGGCCGGGCCCGGGGCCCCGCGCTGCTCCCCGGTGTCAGAGCGCGGATGCCCCGGCTGTGCCTGCCTTGTTTTCCCCTGGGATGTACGTCCAGGCTCCGCCAGGGCCTTCCTCTGGTTCTTCCTAGAGGAAAATCCCATGTTCTGCAAACCAAGAGAGTATCCTTCTACGGTGTGGGACACTTGGCTCCTGGCCACCCGGGGAAGGGGGAGTGCTGGGAACACCTGCTGCAGGTCCTCAATGGGGGAAGAGACCCCGGGACCACGCAGGCTGCCCTCTGCACTGGCACATCCCTGCAGCCAGCTGGCCTCACCTCGGTCCCGCAGGGGCACATCCCTGCAGCCAGCTGGCCTCACCTCTGTCCCGCAGGGGCACATCCCTGCAGCCAGCTGGCCTCACCTCGGTGCGGGAACCCCAGCACCGCATGGGCTCTCCTCTGCTCAGGAACAGGTGCAGGAATTGGGGGCAATCACCTTACAAATGAGAACCCAATGTGTTTAAACTACCCTCAGCTCAACTTCTGGTGAAATCTGGCAAACCAATGGCACTGCTTTTTCCTCTTGGTGCTACTACCCTTCCAGGTAGGAGTGTGCCTATCATTAGGTCTATGAGGAGAAGCAGCCCCATAGCCCGGAGATCTGAGACAAGGAGGTGTTGGTATAGTTCATGGACATATGCAGGGGTGCAGCTCAAACTGCTCCCCAGTGCTCCAGAACAAGCAGTGCCAGGACGTGTTGCTTTGGCAGGGGAAGCATGATGATCCTGTTCCCTGAAACAGTTCTCCCTCAGCCTTCCCAGACAGGCCTGCAGTGCAAGGCTGGCAAAAGTGAGAGGCTCCTAAGCAGATCAGCTGCTGCCAGGACTGGAATCACATTTGATCTCAAAGTTGAATTGCAGCTACATCACTATTTAGTAGTTGCTCTCTCCATCTGAGCTCTCTGGAAGTAGATTCTCTTCCGTGGAAGGAAAAAAACCTCTTCTTCAAAGGTTTGCAGTATTTAAATTCAAGTAATTTTTTTTTTTGCCTGAAGTCAGGGCCCAAGGAGAGTTTGTGGATACATCCCTGAGGGCTCACAGGGAGGTGCCACTGTTCTCTCTGAAGTCTCACCTCAGTGGTTTGGCTTGCGGATGCTTTTCCAGAGCTATGGCTTTTGAGATGCTCAGACAAAAATCTTCACACAGTTTTCAGTCTCCTGGGGCTGAATTTTATCCTGAAGTTTGTAAGCTGTCGGTGGCACTTGTGGAAATAGTTGTAAACAGTCACACACCACTGGATGAGGGAGAGACCCATTGCAAGTCAAAAGCAATGGGCCCAGCTTTCTATGTAAGTACAAGTACAGACACAGCCTCTTTTCCCCTGAACATTAATATTTTTCCATCAGATAGGCAACAGCACAAAGGAAGGAGTTGCCTGAAAGACAATTTTTTTTTTCAGTTACATCCTTTACATCTTTCTCAAAGTTACATCGTGTTACATCCTTTGTTTGGACTCAAGAAATTTCCCTCAATAACAAAGGCAGAAATAAGTTTCCTTTAGAATTAACAAAGGTAACTTTTATTTGTGCTGAACTTATTTTTTAATTTCTCAGTTTCTTCTGAAAGTAGACATACCTCCTGCATACATTTAAACTAAATGCCTCTTGAGTAATGCCCTTGTGGGATTTCATGCTCCTGCTTGTGTGGGAGGGATCACAATCAATCCATTAACATTCTCAGGGAGAGCAGATGAAGTTACAAACAGTTATGTAGGAGACAGGTTGGCTCTGTGGATGATGCACCTGCACAGGATCTTTCTCTACAGAAATCCACAGCACTTTGCAAGACAGGGCTGTAAGTGAAACACTGAGCAGTTGCATGTGAGAAACAATCAGCAGCTATTTGCACAGTCAAAAAAATAGAACTACAGCCCGATTCTAGAACACCTAGAACAGATGCAAGTGCATTCATTATCCTTAGAAAGGCTGAACATCAGCTGTGGAGAGGTTAATAATGTTAGCATTTCAGTGTAATGGCTTTTGCCTTAACACTTGTTTGAAAGGAAAAGTGGAAGATCACGCTTTGTGCTACTGTTAGCCTGTCAAAAATCAGACTATTGGCCAACATTTACTTGGTTCCTTCCTATCCCAAAGAGCTGCAGAGCTTATTTGTTTCAACAACAATTGGTAAGTGAAAATATATTCCATTAAATTTTCATGACCATCTGGTTGGGGAGTAAATTCTAATCCTCAGCAGAGGAATCTGATCATGGATATTTTAAGAATATTTTAAAATCGCATTTTAGTATTTATAATTTTTCACTAAAAGAAGAGATGAATACTAAATTCAGTAAAAGGCATATTATTAATATAAACACTTTACAAAAGCATTTCAAAATCTGTGCTTTCCTATATCAAACATGAGACTAGGAAAGATGCTTTTCAGGAACATTAGAAAGATAGGAACTTGTCTAACTATCTTCTGATGATACTGGAAAGAAATATTTCATAGGAATGAATACAGGAGAAGAGGTGAAGTTAGGTGATATTCAGGATTGGAATGTTGCTACTGTTACCAGTGCCTGCAAAAGTTAGAAGTTTTATATGGCTTATTTTCCACTTATATAAACCTTGATCCTAAATTTATTTCAGTCAAGTCTGGTTAATTTACATGATGCAGATTCAGTTTATTTCAGTGGTAAACCTGAAGTGACAAAGAGAAAGAGATAAAATTTGAATCAATTTCTTTTGAGACTTCTCAAGGAAGTAGTGGAGAGCTGTTATTGCAGATGTTTGAATGGGGTAATTTGGTGGTTAATGAAGATCAAGTTTTCCAGAATAGTTCCCCATATACTTTTCTACTGTGACTTTAAACTGATGCCACTGGATGTAACAATAATTACAACACAATGACTTATTTCACACCAGAATATCCTGAGAATGAAGAATTAATTGTTCTTTGCTGTGAATGTGATTCACAGGCAGCTTCTTTGTGCTGCTAGTGAAGTAAACAGGATTTCAGATTTTCCTTCTTCAAAAATACCCTCAGGAGCTCTTTATCCATTTTTTACTTCAGTTTTCCAGTTTCTAAAATGAGATCTATGCCTACTTAGTGCAACAGGTGAGGGTGCATGCAAGTGTGTGTGTGTGACAGAGAGCAAGAGAAGGGGCGGGGGGGTTATCACAGTAAATCCATAAAAAGATGTATTTATATCTCCTATGTGATTAAAAAAGCATATGCACCACTCAAATGTCGTTTAAGTCAGTGTTATGCTCAGGTTGCTCGTCTTTATTGTCACTAAGTTCAATTATGCCCTATTTATGCCAGGTTATTCTGTAATAATCAAATGAGGCAAAATTAATCTGAACTTCATTTGGTCTGGCTTAAAAATGCTTGTGC